TATAATTGGTCCTTACTTAAAACTTTGTTCATCGTCCATTTGTCAATTGGACAAGCTTGTTGCTGTATCATAATGAATTTAATTTGTAAAATGACATAATTTGGTGTCTGTGTATGTCAACAATGAGAGGACTTACTGTGAACTCATTGTGCACTTCAGCAAGTTCAAACTGAGTATGTACAGTATATCTATAGTATTGTTTCAACAGTGAAAACCTTTGCTTATGGGATGTATTTAAACCTTGAGCTACAGAGACAGTAATTTACTGGCTGAGGGGCTTACATAGGGAACCCTACAAACAGCAGAGACACATACAGAGAGACACATACTTGCTTTATATACACTGCAATTATGAGATCAGGCAAAACTATATATTCACTCAGACATTCAACCAGAACCTCCTGACTTGTCTGTGAGTAAAACAAATCTCTCCTGGACCGTGAGTCTCCATCTGACACCATCTGTGTGAATCAGTGTGTGTGTGTGTGTGTGTGTGTGTCTGTGTGTGTGTGTGTGTGTGTGTGTGTGTGTGTGTGTGTGTGTGCTGAATTGTGTGTGAATTAACTGTAGCTGCCTATCTGGCCCAGATCTCCCAGTGAACACAGAGCAGGTCCAGAAATGCTCTGGAAGACCATCAGAGGCAAAAGCGAACATTGATATTGTTCCCAGGACTAAACAAATAGTTTCCCACAGCTTATCAGAGGAGGTCAGTTTACAACACTTCTTCCACTGTTCAATAGTGTGTGTGTGTGTGTGTGTGTGTGTGTGTGTGTGTGTGTGTGTGTGTGTGTGTGTGATATCCTCTTCTGGAGCGTCTCGCAGTCAGTGAAGGGACAACATAGAGTGGAGCAGATGGTGAGTGTTAAGTAAATATTTGGCAGCGTGTTTTCAGAAATAAAATCACAGTCCAATATTCAATACTCATCTCTTAGTTCTCTGGAGCTTCATCTGATCAGCAGCATCATTCATCAAGGATAATTTATTATTCACCATGAATCAAATGTATTAATAACAGAGCTTTAATTCAGTGGGGGTTGAGATTGGGTGGGAGTGACCAGACACAGACTTTCTGAGGAATCATATTGTGTACATATGATGATATGGTGATATCAATATCAAAAAATCTTCTTTTAATTACCCTGAACCAGGCCTAATGAAGCTGAATTATACTGTATTGTCTTCTATTTTATTGCATTTGATTAGTTTTATCTGATGTAATCAAAACTGTAAATGACAGTTCTTGCATTGAACATCAATTTGATAATTTTATAGATTATATTTTTTGCAAGTGCCAAAAAGGCATAACAGTAAGAATAATAAATTCTAATATGGTGAAAACACTTAAACATTTGTGTAAATGTATTCTTCCCTCCATATAGACGTAAATACATAAATGCCAATGGTGTGTACAATATTTAATCAATCTGCCTCGAGTGTTGGTTAAACTTAATAATTCTCAGATCATAGTAATCTTACAATGTGTCATGTTTCATGATAAACAGTTGATTACTACACTGATCCACTACACTGTTCCAGAGTCAGGGGTGGGTCTACAGCCCTCCACCCTTACATTGAGGGTTGCACCCAATTTTTCAAGCCGAGATTTGGAGAAAACCCCAAATAGAAAATGTAGACATTTCCTTTTTTCTTGCTCTTTCTTCGAATCCAGTAAAGTACTGTGTAATCCCTCTTTTTAATTATTTCTCTGTTATTATTTGCCTTAAGAAGTCAAACATTTCCAGACTACAGCCACTCACCTCTCCTCTGGTACAAGGAAAAGCTGCTGAGTACTTGGAGGTGCATGTGGCCCCACTCTCCCCGGCCGAAGACGCCTCTGGCAGGCCGAACACCTCCTCACAGTCCCGGGCGTAGTACCTGAGGGTCCTCCATGTGCGCCCGTGGTCCTGGGAGCGCTCCAGCACCATGGCAGCGGGGCGGGGGGAGCGGAACACCACGATGAGATGGGTGAAGAGGAACTCGGTCTCCAGATCCAGCTGGAGCGTCTCCTCCTCTGGCCCCTCTGCAGACTGCCACCAGGTGTCCGGGTGGCGGAAAGAGGAGTCGCTCATGGAGGAGGAAGGGTGCGCCTGAGTTTGGATGGCGGAGTTGCACTTGCTGCATTTAGCCGGGAAGCAGGAGTCTCTCCTGCTGGGGTCAGAGGTCTGTTTGTAGAAGCAGAAAGGCTCCGAGGAGTTAGAGCCGCAGGTTGACCGGGTCTTCAGCACTCTGCCCTGGGACAAGTTGCCCATGCGAGGGTTGCAGGCTCGACCTGAGCAGCTGTTCTCCACAGCTGGATCTCTGCCCCGGGATGTTTCTGGTAAGAAAAAAAAAAAAAGTTCATATGATAATGAATGAAATGAACATAAGTATAAAAAGTCTAATCTATGAGAGAGGAACCGCAGTTGTAAACAGATTTATTTCCTCAATGGATTTAAAGGATATTGCGAGTTTGGTCCATGTAGTGCGCTCCCGATGCTGTGACGCACGTGGATGCGCGCGTTTCCTAAAATAAAAACACTCAATCCTTGATGTATTTATTCACATCTTCATTAAAGGGGTGAGAAAAAACAGGTGTCATTCTCAACTCACCGGTTAAAAGAGGAGAAGACGCACACATCACCGGGAAGATGACAAGTAAAGTCCACAGTCTCATTGTGGAGCAGTTGAGTTGTGTGTGGCAACAACAAGAGGGCGCATTCAACAGCTTGATGCAGGCGTACGCGTTTCCATTTGTCTGTAATCCAGTATTCCTTTGCGATATAACATAATCTAACAGCAAACGTTCACTTCGCAGGAATGAAGAAGCAGAAGAGACTGAAAGGTGAGATTCCTCCTGTCTGTCATGGTGGAGAAGCACCTGGTTAGATTGAACGGGTGTTATTCAAGATCTCTGCAGCCATTACCCTCACATTATTCCATCCCACACACTTGAGGGTTCAGCGTCACTGTGGAGACTTCATTGACATTTAGGAATAAGAAGAGGTTAGCACCGCCCTCGTCTGGTCGTCTCCAACACACCCCTCCCTCTGTGTTTCCTTAAATCAGACTTGTTTTCCTCTGGCAATAATCTATAAATGTATAGATATATAGATTTATAAAGCATTTCTGGCAGAAAAGAGAAGATCATGATTTGGGAAAATGTTGATCATCTTGTCATCATCCAGAAGAAGATGACTGCAATTATGAAAGGTTTTATTATATTAGCTCATATTATATTACACAAGTGCAGTGCCCATTCCTGCCTGTTTGCAATGACCTGTGTTCATTCTCTAGAGCTACTGCAGAATTATTTCTAATCATTTGTGAGTCCTTCTCAAACAGTTCTACAATAGACTGTCACTTGTTATTGTTTGTGTGCTGGACATTGTTTTCAAAGCTTCTATAGTCACTGTTTTTCATAAAATGAAACAGAATTAGCTTTATTACTGTTCATGTTTGTGCCTTAAGGGATTCGTACATTTAATGTCAGCTATTTCAGAGGTCTGTTAAGCAATCACCATAATCTCAGTCAAAATGAAAACTGTAATTCAGCTCGATATAAAGCATTGCAGCAACAAAATGGTTTTTACTTTGAAGACAGCTTACTAAAGAGGAGGTGATTCTAAGAATGTTGTTGACGTAACAGAGATCAGAACCCACAAAACCTGTGTGAATATCTGTGTCAGTCTGATATGGAGAAATACAAAATAATCAAAATGAACTGGCAGAGCAAATATGTTATCGGCCACAGGCTGCCAGTTGCCAAGTGCTGCTGTAGTTTATCCAAGGACGTAGAAGAAGATTCAACTCTGAAGGCACACTGCCCCATCCCCCACTGACTGCTACCCAGCTGGTCACCTGTTTATTCCAATTTTACTAACATTGAATATATTGTGTTAGTGGGTAGATTGTTGTCAAATCAATAAATGCATATACAGAGCAGCAATAACCTTTTTCCTTCTGCATTCCTCAAACACCCGTGTGTTTTTAATTAGCTGTCATCAGATTGAGGCGTAAAAAACTGCTGATGGTCTAAAACAATAACGCAGAGATTTAATTTGCCTCCACGAACCAAAAAGCACTGGAGCGCTGACTGACAAGTGTGTCATTGTGTTGCATTCCTGCCACATATCACCACTTGTTTCTAACTGCCACTCATTAACAGTGTTTTACTTGCCTCCTCAGACACGCATCAGCTCTGAGGGGTCACACAACCCTTGACCCCAGTAATTATACAGTCTCACACCTTCTTTCCCTTGAACAGTGACATCATATCATTTCAAGACATTTGAAGAAAGAAATGGTGTGCGTGATACTAGGCAGCTTTGCCTGTGGCTGTCATAGTTATTTAATACTGATCTGACAAGCTGATGAGTGAACATGAAAAGGGAAGAGTGTCAGTGAGACTGTATATCATATCTTTAAATACATGAGGTCAGAAGTAACGTGTTCCCACTGTTCTCTCTCCACCTGTCATATGAATCATCCTCTCTTATGTGTGCGTGCACATGTTAAAGAAGGGGAATCATGAGCATTCTCAGTCTCTTCCCTGAGGCATCCCGACCCTGACGGATCAGGACATTCCTGGAATACTGTGACTCTCGTCACAGTGGCGGCCCCTCTTCCTTTAAAGGGGACAGGGTTCAGGCCTGTGTGTGTTTTTAGATTTTCATGGGTTATTTTGGTTTTCTCCCAGTGATCTGCCGGGGCAAGGGGTGATGCACCTTGAGTTGTTCTCTTTGTACATCACTTGCATGTTTTTCGATCCTCAAATCCCAGGAGTCACCATGAAAAATGCTGCAGGAAAGGTTGTCTAATCTTGGCCAGTCTGTGTATTCCCCTGGCAGGATGAAAGCAAGGCACATCATAAACAAATTCCTTCACACTCTTTAAGTCCAGCTGTTTGTTGTTTTTCTCTGTTACACAACTTGAACGTTACTAAGCCGAATCAGGAAAGAAGTAACACAATAATGTGGGCGAAAGAATGGAAACAGGTGGAAACAGGCCCCACCCCTCATGCGAATGTTCTTGTTGTGAACGCGCCTGACCCAGACAATTTCCTGTGTTCTTCATATGTGAAAGGCAAACTCAGAGAAATTTCTGGATTTTCATGTTCCTGCATAAAAACTGTTTGTTTGTTTGTTTAACCCTTTCAACTGCTTTGCCGCAAAATGGGTGGGTGACGCACTGACGTTTTTGTTAGTGGAGCCTCCAGGACGTCACTGCACTCATTCAAGAAGTAGGCCTGCATGTTATGCCCAAAGCCACGACTCGTCATTTTACATATAGATTAAAGTTACAAAAAATATAAAGCGGTAATGTTTTGGCTTAGAGATTGTTTGGTGGAAATTTTACTTTCAGAGCCAAGCTAGCCTATGCTAGGTAAAGCTAACAAGCTGCTAGCTGAAACTGCATGCACTATAAGAGTGGTATCAATCATCTCTTCCAACTTTCAGCAAGAAAGGAAAAAAAGCATACTACTCAAATTATAAAACTTTAACAATTATTTGATGAATTCTGCTGTGCTGGGCGTCCGAAGCCAGTGGTGCTACTGCTGTGTCATCTAATGGCCCAATGAAACAAGGACTCTGGGCCGTTCCACCACCTCTGGCCTGCTTTATTTCCAGACTGTAAAAGGATATGGTCCCCCCCAGCCCCGGCCCCTCATGCTGCCATGTCACCTAGTACCTCCAGCTCACTGAACCGTCTCAACCCTTGCGAGTAATATGTCTACTCTCCTGTAAAAGCCAGACAAAAAGCCAGACGTGCTCCAGGCAAGAAGGGAAGGTGCCTTGCCCGCAGGCGAGGCGTTAAACAGAAGGCCCCACACATGCTCCATCACTGCTCTCGTTGCTTCCACTTTTATGACGTTTATCACTGCTATCTGTCTGCCTGCTCGCAGCCATAACATCACCCACATTTCATCAGACAGTTTAATCTGGAATGACAAAAAATAGAAACAGGATCTGCGTTATGTAAATATTTCTTCTACGCTGCAAATATTCCCATGATGTAAATCGTTTGGAATTCCTGCTATGAGTTATTGATTTTACTGAAAGACAGCAGCACAGCAAATGCCTTTCTCAACTGCTCCACACAAATGTTTCGCTTCACAGCCTCCACCATCCAGACACCTCTGGAAGCTTATACTCTATATTTCATGCCACCTTTTGACACGCTGTCTTATGGCACAGGAAAGACTCAACAGATGACTGAGCACAAAGCCTGAATTAACAGCCAGAGTAGACAGGGAACCGTGGGGGTTTCACCTTCATAAAAGCCAGGCCGGCGGATGTGTCCCATTTTATTTTTTAGAGTTGTGGGAGGGGAACGGAAGGTCCACAGATGGCTAGAGCATACCTGTGTCATGTCATCTACCACATGGTGTGAGATACTGCAGATAAGAAGGCATACAGTGTCATTAACAGCAAGAGAGCAAACAGTGACACTTGTTAATACTGTACATGCCAAAGGTGTGAGCTCTGCTTTGTGTATGTGGTAAGTGATGGCTGAAAAAACAAACCTGTCAAACGAGTGGAAAAGACTAATGTTAGAGATCGTGAATACACGTGTTTATAAAAAGGGTGGGACCTGTTGCATCAACTCATTAAGATTTCCTCTGGTACTATCAAAAAATTGCGAAATACAATGTCCCCCATTTAATTTAACCTTTGACTGCTAATGTAATTGGAATTTTAAACATCAAATTGTAGTTGTTGATTTTTATTTGTTGGTATTTACTTGCTATTGAACACAGGTGAAACACATGAGGAACAGGTGCGGGAAACAGTGATGCATTTATGTGTGGGGTTACGTATGGGTTGACTCATTTTAACTGCTTGATATTCGTAAAACTGTGTTTGTTCACTCATAACGACATTAAGAGTGTGTGGTATTAACATGTTCGTCATGTGATAGTGGGGTCCACGAGGTGCAACATTTCTTCTCACTATGTCAAGCACATGTGTGGAGATTAAAATAAACCTGGAGCTCAAAAAGCAACTCAAACGATTGCCTGGAGGATGAGTTTTCTACGTATAAGATATAAGAAGATAGGATAATCCTTTATTAGTCCCACGATGGGGAATTTTGCAATATTACGTGTAGGAATATAAAGAATATAGAAAAATATGAATGGAATTAAAACTAACAGGTGCAGTATGAGAATATGTACAGTGAATGGATTGCACATGGACCATTGTATTGCACAGACAGAAAGAATACAGCACAGTGAGCTGAGGAAACATTGGAAATACTGTCTTGATGTAGATTGTAAATGTAAGCAGCACTTTCCTGTCTACGGACCGACCCAACGGGGTCAATGTGCCAAAATGGGGGAATATTGCCATCTAGTGGTTAAAGTTGGATTTCAAGTCAGTCCCACTTTTGAATTCACGAGATCAGGATGTTATTTTGGACCTGCACCAAACTGCACACACTCGTAAACATAACACCCTAAATACACAGTAACCTTTGCAAATACACACAGCTCCATGCATGCAGATGCTAAGTTTCATACCTCATTCGTGTGACTCAGGGATGAGACCTCGCTGCTGTCTGTCTGTGTGTGTGTGTGTGTGTGTGTGTGTGTGTGTGTGTGTGTGTGTGTGTG